TATTGACAGTGGGCACAGGCCGTATTGGAAATCTCTTAATTCAGTGGGTCACAAAATATGGATAGCAGTCACCACTGCCCGCCTACTCACTCTGTGTCCATGGGCTGTTGGCCTGGTAGTGCCGGGGACCCCTTACCTAGAACACTGATGTTATCATCCTAATTGGCACCCTCATAGTAAGGGTATTTACAAAGTACTTATGCACAAAACTTCTGTGCAAATATGGGATAGTATTATTCATATTATTTATTAGTTGAACTCAGCCATCAGGAGAAATGAGACAATAAATACAGATAATAGAAAGACTGTGGGTTTGTTTTGTTTTTGTTTGTTTGTTTGTTTGTTTGAGACAGGGTCTCACTGTGTAGTTCAGGTTGGGCTTGAACTCAGTATGTAGCCCAGGCTGGCCTCAAACTCAGGGTGATACTCCTGCCTCAGCCTCCCTAGTGCTGGGATTACAGGTGTGCACCACCATACCCGACTTGTCTTTTATTTTTTTCAGTGCCTCAAATACAGGCTAAAATCACAGTCCAGTAAACCAAAGAGGAAGAGTGTATGTGTGGGTGTGTGTGTGGGTGTGTGTGTGTGTGTGCGCGCGCGTGCGCACACGCGTGCATGTGCGCACACCCAGACTGGTGAGGCTGAGCTATTTAAATTGGCACTTATAACGTGCAGCTCAAGCAGGTTCCAACTGGCTGTCTGATTACCTCAGAAACTTGAATGATTCACTAAGGATACTAAGTATTTGGAAGATTGTAATAGGTTGAATTGTGTTCTCAATAATAATAATAATAATAATGATAAATGTTGAAGTCCTAACCCCCAAGATCTCAGAATGTAAATTGATTTGGGACTAGGGCAATTGCAGAACTACTTAAGACAAGGTCATGCTGGAGAAGTGTAAGCCCCGAACCAATGTGATTGGTGCTCTTATAAGAATCCCACCATGTGAAGACAATACACAGGGAAGATGTCCCAACACTACAAAGGCAGGGACTAAGGAATCCCAAGGATTTCCAGCAAACCTCCGGCAGCTGAGAAGGGAATAGGAAGGACCTTTGCTTGGGGATTCTGAGAGTGCAGGGCCCTGTTGACACCTTCATTTCCAATGTCTGACCTCCAGCACCATAAGATGATAAATCTCCGCTGTTTTAAACCACCCAGTTTGTATTAAGTGGTTACAGCAGCCCTGGGAAAGAATGCAAAGACAGCCAAGGCTTCACACCAGAACAGGAGGAGAAGCCACTTTAGCTTGGTGGCCAACCGACCGCGGTGGCCAACCGACCGCAAGAGCAGCCTCAAGGGAGTAACAGGAGGCTGCTTTGTAACCATTTGTGCTTTCACAGGTGGTGCTGGAGTGCTGGAGTCACTACTGCCATAGTCTACTACTCACAAGTGCCATGCTCAGAACTGCCCCTTAGAGACAACGTTGCCAGGCAGCTTGCAGCGATCATAGTCAGGGAGATTGAAGAATCTAGGATTTGATGACTTTCCTGAGCTGCTGAATCAACAAACTCCACAACCACCTACCTCTCTGCTCTTATAGATGAGAAACAATTGCTTCTTGTTCAAATTATTTTGCATGCGCTCATCTGCTGAAAACATAGCTTCAGTGTCGAATTTTTTTCTTTCCCTCTTATCTTCCTCCTAGTCACAGTGTACTATGTACACACTTAGCTTATACAAAATTGTACTGGTCTTAACTTTAGTTTAACACTTTCTATGCCCAGCAATTTATTGCCCCAGAAGTCTCGTCTCCAAGTACCAGCCACTAAGAGCACCCTGCGGAATCGTTCTCCTATGTTGCTAGATTGATGCCGCTCTACCAGTATTTTTCAGCTTTGGTGTGTTCAAGCGAAGCTACGAAAGGAAATGCATGGGGGAGGTTGACACCATGACAGCGGATTTATGCTGCAGCTTCGAGCTGCCCCAGTGAACTGTGCATCTCGACTGCTCATCAACATGTGATTGTGGAATGGTCACATTCCATTAGCCACCTGCTTTGTAGTAGAGCCTATTTGAATTAAAGATTGCAGCTCGCTACTCAAGTTTGTGAAATAAAAATGGAAAAAGAATGTGGTTCAATTTTTCAAAAATAAAATAGGGTCTTTCCATTGCATTTTAACAGTAAAAAATAAAATAGAATCTTTCCATTGCATTTTAACAATAAAAGTACAGGTCACCTGCAATGGTTTATCCCACTGGCATTGGCATTGCATGCATTGCTGCTGCGTTTACTCTGAATCCACTCACTCCAACAAGCAGAAGGGAAAGCACATTATGATCAGTACACTGTGCAGATCACTATATGAGGACAGTGTTAATTTGAACCATTACTGATTATACTTCCAAGGATTGCACTTGCCCTGACTCACTGGTCACAGTAGAGAGTATAAGTATTGGTTGAATTGACCTGAAAAATGGAAGCTTATTTCTATGAGGACCCCTAAGGAGGATATGGAGAAAAAAGAGGCCTTTCTGGGAAAAATGTGGGATGGTGCAGGCCACAGGTCAGAGCACACTGGCCAGGAGTACAGATCCTGAGCATACTGACCAAAGACGTCAGACACCTGCTCCAGAACAGTGCTACGCTGGGGCCCACGCTGTGAACTCCCAGCTCTTCAATGTACCCACTGCAGCAGGCAGAACGTGGCACCATCTCTTCCCTGCTGAGAAGGGAACCACTTCCAAGCAATCCGGTGACAGAAGCTCACCATACAGCACCAAACTTCCCCATAGGAACACTCCGCATATTTTATGCAATGCAACTAAAACTTAAAAACTCGTATGTACCTCCTAATATACAAAGCCCAGGGCAGACTTCTCTTAATTGCATCTTGTTCTGAGAACAAGTTTGCTGTGGGTTTGAACAGGAATGCCATTTTTCATGCTATGCCACCCAAATATGAGTTGAGAGCCCCTGACTGAGTGACGTTACTTTCCTTTCAGAACAGATCAGTCGAAATTTACAGAGAAATTTGCTTGTACCAACAGCTGTGGGCCTCTCTTCAAAATGCCCTCCCAATCCATCTTATCCTTCTGGCTCCTTTACAGTCACATTCATGCACTCAACAGCTATTCTCTGAGCACTTTCCTGTATCAAGCACTGTGCTGAGAGCCGGGCAGGCCAAGTCCCTGCCAGAGCTTCCTGCCAGCCAACTCACAGTGACTGGTGAGAGTGAGCTAATGCACCGTGTGAGGCTGCAGTGGAAACTTAGAAACAGGAGCGAGCCTTGCCTTTGGCTGGGACTCAGGAAGACCTCCTAGGAGCGCTGGCATCTGAAGATAAGGAGGAATTTTCCAGCGCTCTGCGGGCCACCCCACATGATGTGGAACGGTGTAATAGTACACCGAGGTTTATGTCAGAGGGTTTGGGGATTATCTGTTGGTCACTGCGCTGGGGACAATAAGCACAGTAAGTTGGGGAGAGGTGATCCGAAATGAGGCTGGAGAGCTTGGTGGGAGGCGGAACGTGAGGGAAGAGTTTTGTTCACCTCCGAAGGAGTTTCAACACCATCTGATGGTGTTTCTCAAAATGAAGCTCATGAGATCCCTATGAAAACTTTTTATTTGTTTTTGTTTCAGGGATCATTGTATTACTACTAACAGTAACAATGAGAGGAGTAAAAACGTATTCCAGATCATCTGAATGGCCACTTACCATATAATTTCAGTGTGCATATCATCTTTTTTTTTTTTTTTTCTGGTACCAGGAATCGAACTCATGACCTTGCACTTGCCAGGCAGGCACTGTGCCACTGAGCTGAATCCCCAGCCCCCACATATCATCTTTATAATAAAGCTGGCACCCTGCCTACAGAGAGCAACAGCTGGAGGTCAGCAGAAAGTCACTAGCTGAAACACAGCCAAGTAGTAGGGGGACAGGGTCACCGCATGCTTCCTGCTAGTGGGCAGTGTCAGACTCACAGCAGTCGTGCTGTCAGGCTCTCAGACCAGGTCACATTGCATAGGACAACTGAGACTCACAGAACAATATCATTTGTCTCGTTAAACTAAAGCTGCTTACTTGAATGTTACCAGTTTTGTAGTTTTTGCCTAATACATTTTCCCTTTAGATTTATAGTTCTATAAATATGTGACAAGAAATTTTATAGCTAGTTTCATTTTTTACACCTTCTCAAGACATATTTAAATAAACATTGCAATCTTTGGGGTTTTTCTTTTCCTTTAAAATGGGTTTGTCTATTTCCCAAGTATAAGAAAAAACTATAGATGAGAGGGAGTCTTTGAGGAAATTGCCGCAGATATTGGTGAGGCAGCAACTGTGTTGGGAAATCAGTCACAGGGCAGCCTGCTCATGTGGACAAATCGGAGGCGGGAAAACCTCTAGAAGGGGACTGTCCACATCCTCCTACTTAAAGAACTTGTTTTCTCCCAGAGCTGCCCTCAGGCAAAGATCAGGGCCCTGTGGAACCAAATGCTGACCCGAAAAACAAAATGCACTGGTTGCAGGACATGTCTCATCTAGCGAAGAAGCTCCCTAAACTTCTACATATGTCATTTCCCTGTGTTCCAGGATGAGGCCGGAAGTAAATTAGAACCAACACAAGAGGAGCTGCTATGTACATGGTAACAAGAAAACCACCAGGGCTGTCTACCCCAGCTACAGTTAAAGAAGGCTCGTTACTAAGCCAGGTGTCACTTGGGCTGTATTTTTCCAGACAAGGTGACCTTCTCTAACTTGGACAAAACCTGGATGGCCTTGTCAAGCGTGATTCTTGGAGGGGTTGCATCTCCTGGAGGGACACCTTTTTCTAAGTGTGTGAAGGTACCCCATGCATGGGCTAGCTGTGACTTAATTCTGCTTTTCTGAGATTAAGCCTTACCAGCACCTCACCAAGCTAGAATTCTTACAGTCTAATGAGAACAAAGGATTTTCATCTTGAAAGTTTTGGAGAGCATACGACTTACCCATAAAAAGCTATAATGTTAAGGTATACAACAAGTACAAAGAACTGGATACTGTATGCCCAACTTACCTCAGGGGCCATCCAGAACGGGGTACCAACTGATGTATTTCTCCTTAGGCGTGTGCTGGTGAGTTGAGCTGAGACTCCTAGAAGAAAAGGGTATTGGAATTCAGCAGATGGCAGAAGGTGATGCCAGATTAAGGTTGACAATTTTTCCCATAAAGGGCCAGATAGTAAGTATTTAAGGCTCCATACAGTCTCTGTCACAGTTACTCAACTCTGCTATTGTGAACTAAAGTTGCCATGGAAAACACACAGAGGAAGCCTGCACTCTAATAAAACTTTATTTAAGGGTGCTGAAATCTGAATTTCATATAATCTTCACATCTCAATATATTCTTTTGGGGTTTTTCAATCATTTGCCAAGGAATATTTCTGTCCATATTGCAGCAAATTTGGAACCAAAAGAAAAATATCAACAACTAGGATCAGCCTTAAAAAAAAAACCTTCCTATTATATTTCCCAATTATTTCAGGTGATTTCTTTTTTAATAAGGTACTTCATTTTATGGAGGAAAAAGATGGGCAGGGTACTATCTATAATACAGCATCAGTGTAGACATAAAAAGATTTGGGTACCTTATCCCGCCTAAAAGCCTAGAAACTTGGCAAGAAAGCTATTTTGTGAATTGGAAAAAGAAACTGACAGTGACATTATTATCTAAAGCTCGATGTTGATGACCTGACTTTTAATACAATTCCAGTGTCCTCTAACTAGCTGCTTCTCCATACCTTGAGAGAATGCAGTGAAAATAAATGTGCACTGGATTAAGGTCCAAGACCTGTTCTCCATACCAATTATGCCTTTTGCTAATGGTGTGGCCATCTCTCCTTTGAGCCTCGGTTTTCTCATCGTCAACTAGGGATGATGACAACAGTCATACCTAACAGGGAGGGCTCTTCTTAAGACCAAAAAAGAGATCAATTGTGCAATGCACATTACAATGGTAAGGGATTTCTTTGCCAGGCAAAAGTCCAACATAGCCCTTCTACTGATGCAGTCATGGCATAGCCAGAGAGCACCTAGGGATGGGGAGGAAGCAGAATCCTGAGCCCTTACTTGCTGTTCATGAAAAGAATGATTTGTATTTTCTTGTGGCATAGTCAGGGACTTAAAAGCCCTTTTTTGCTTTAAACTATGACTCTTCTCTTGGGCCAACAGATGCCCAAAAGGTAACTAACAGCAAAATACAGCTTGACCTTCATTTTGCATCCTTTACTACTATAAACCTTGGGAGTATTTCTTCTCAGCTCTGCACAGGGTTATGTTGATCATTTAGGGAGTGTTTGTCTAGGAGACGCCCAGATAGGGCTGATCAGTCCTGAAATTACATGATCTCATTCCCCTGCAAGACAGAGAACACCAAGATAAGAGGTTTATAAAACATTCTCCTATACCCAGAAGCCTCTAGCCGTTGTCCTCAGCCTGTGATCACCTGGATTCCAGGAAAGGCAGAGCCTCCCAACCCTGAGGCCATGACAGATGGAGGCAGTTCTTTCCTGGAAACTGAACCATTCCTCAGCCATGAGGATTCCTGAGCTACAATACCTGGTCTGAGATGCTAGCTGGATTCCAGCCCACCAGCTAATCCTTGAAAGGGCTGAACACCTGTAGCAGAGTGAGCCCCTCCAACTACTTAAGCTGGAGTCTTTTCCTATCTTCCCTTAAACTTTCCAATGAAAGCTTTTTTTCCTGTAAATTTGTGCTTTAGTTTTAATTTCCATTTCTACTAAAGCAAAGACTCATGCTAGCTGGTCATACTATTGATGACAAAAGCACAGAAGCCTGAACACTGTGTGCTTATTAGTGAAGAGCATCAGCCTTGAGATCACCAGGCTGATACCAAGGACACCTGGGATGCTTGTTGTGTTAGTTGCCTACATTCTCTTTATCAGAAAGATGAGTCTCAAACTCTTGGGCTCAAGCAATCCTCCCATCTCAGTCTCCTGGGACTATAAGCACATGTCCCTGCACCCAGAAAGAAGCCTCTTTAAACTCTATTTGCCACAGATAATTTCCCATTTTATCAAGTCCTCCACTATAATTTTGGCAAGAACAATTACACCTTTCTGTTTTGAATTTCTAGAACTTTCTTTTGCAGCAACTAAATGTTCAGGAACTTCTACTGGAAAGATTAGGAATGGTACCCACAGGCAAATCACAGAAGTGGTGAGTAGTTAAGTCAGTATTAACCCATAGCCTCAATCCTTCTAAGCTAGTTTCCCTCTCAATATATTTATTGCCCTTAGGACCATGTGGAAAACACATCTCTACTATACTTACAGCATATTACTGAAGCTATATCATCCCTTACATTGAGAGAGGAGCATGAACCTTTAACAAAGAACCCCCTCTGCTATTTTTTTTTTGCTTATACCTTAGAAAACAGACCAGTATTCATAGAGTAACTTGATTCATTCTTAAATAATTTCTTCTGCACAAGTGATTCACTGACATATTTTTATACCTAACACTTCCTTATCAATAAAACAATGAATATTCAAAATCTTCAATCTTGGTTTCTTTTTTTTTCACCATGATGACACTGATAATGTTTTGAAATGTTTCTCTAAATGTTTTCTCATTATTTGTAGCAATAACTCTGAGGTACTAAATAGTATTGAACTCATTTAGAAGATTAACCCATTCCATAAACCTCAAAGGAAAACCAAATGGTCTGTTGGTTTGCGAATATCAGTATTCCAATGTTCTGAGAAGATACTTAATAGTGGTCTGGCCTCAGATAACATTCAGTGCATTTCCTCTCACCCTTCCATTTCCCGTTAATGTTTCCAGTTCAACTAGCCTCACATATCGCAGTGATAATCACCATTTAACTACCGGGATGTCAGCTCCCAGACCCAAAGGACTATTTTACTTTCTGCTCACTGGGAATAAGCATGCCTAAGGCTAGTGAAAGCCATTAAAAGGCCAAACTGCCTTCTCTTTTCATATGCAAAAGAAGATATGACAACATGTAAATTATAGACAATTGCCTGAGATGTGAAGTTCTCACCAGAAAACCAAAAAGGTTTTCCATCAACTTCTTTTGCAGCACTTCTATTTTCTTTCTTTAATAAAATTGCTTCTAAAGCTGAAAATAGATTTACAAACAGCATGTCCTAGGGTGATCCATCTGGTAAGCCCCCAATTCCCCAGCCTATGTTTGCCTGGAAAAGTCCCTCAGCCTGTGCTGTAGCAGAGTGGTCCCAGTTTCCTGAGACTGCAATAAATTGTCCCCTTTGGCTAAACTGCACACATCAAGAAAACAAACGACATGCAGTCATTACCAAAGTCAACGAGCTTAACTCCTCCTTCTGTTGTCAGAAGAATGTTGTTCCCCTTCACATCACGGTGGATGATTCGGTTGTTGTGCAAATGCTGAAGGCCCTGCGTGGTGCCCAGCACCACCGCACACCAGGAAAGAGAAAGAAAGGGGAAACAGACATGCTTATTTTAAAGCAATTACCCTACTATTAGAAAGTCCAGTCCAAGTCCACATTTGGCTACACCTTCCCACTATTAATTATGCTCGCATATTATGAGGTACTTTCTCCATCATTAACATGCAATGAGGCTCCAAGTAGTGTACAAATTGCCCCCTTTGCTGTCAACACCCCCAGCTCGAAGGACGTTCTTACCAACAGGGCTCCGTACAAGATGTAAGAGATCACTGCTTCATCCAGTCGTTGGCCACTCCTGAGGAGGCCTTTCACAAGGTCGGTGACAGAGCCCCCGTTACACAGCTGCAAGAGGGGGTACCACCCAGAAAGAGGGAACAGCAGGGTTCAAAAGGAAAGAAAAATAAAGAGAAAAGTTCACTGATTACTGACTCAATATAGTACATTTGCAGACCATAAAACTCCAACTTGGAATAATTAGACTTCAAATTTCCACTAGCAGGCGAAACCCAGCTCTTTGTATGTGTGTACAGCCTGTACTCAAGGTGATGATTTATGAGCAAAAGTACACACCCCCAAAACTGACTTTTTAACCGCCAAGTGAAATAGAAAAGCACAAATTATTATTTAGATATCTGAAAGAAAAAGCCCATTGGCAATTGCAGTGACTTATTGGATCTTTCTCATTTTATGTGACTATCATCTCTATTTTTTCAAATGTGCATTTTGAGGATAAGTAAGGACCAGCAGAAGCAAGATGCATGCCCTGGATACCTGACAGGGAGTGAATTTCAGTGATTTCAAACCTTTCTACCTCCTGTACCTGTACTGCAGGCATCAGAAGCCCTGCCAATAGCTCTTTCTAGAGTTGTCAGTGTGTGTCAGGTTTATGAGGTGGGGTTGTATCACAGGCACAGGGCATCTCCTATTCATGTTTAGGCTTTGGCTCTTTCTCTCTCCTCCCTCCCACCCCTTCCTAGAAATTTAAACACCATGTAAGTGATGATATTTTGCATAGTTGTTCTTTGCTGTATATTGTACATCATCAAAGTGTGAGTCCATATGTTACTTTTTCAGCAATTTTGAGGGCTTTCAAGAATAGTTTTTAGTACCTGCAGGAGTCCCTGGTTTGAGTTTGTCATAAACCATCTTAAATCCGGGTTACTAAACTATTTGAGCAAGGCATGGAAATATCCTGAAACTGCAGGCAGCATATTAGAATGCATCTTGAGTTTTTCTGGGGAGACAATTCAGAGCACTCATCAGATTCTAAGAGTCATTCATCCATGACCTTCTACAGGGAGGGAAAAAACTTACTTTAGAGACTTCGGTTACTTCTTGGCACTTTTTCTGCAATTTAGGAAAGTGTTAACTAATGAACAGCAGGTGGTTCCTGCAGGTTTTCACTGTTTGAGTCAAGGGGCTTTTCTCACTCCAGGAAAACTGAGAAACACAAATTAACAGCTTTCCTAAAACAGACAACTCTTGAGAAAATCCTTTCCTACTCCTATGTCTTCAAGTGCCTTCCTATTTTGTCTTCCAGAAGATTTAATGTTTCTGCTTTAATGTTTAGATCTTTGATCTATTTTGATTTTAATTTAGTATCTGGTCAGAGTTAAGGGTCCAGTTTATTCTTCTATAAATAGATAACCTGTTTTCCCAGCACCACTTGTTTTTTTGTTTGTTTGTTTGTTTGTTTTTTGCTTTTCTTCTGGTACCAGGAATTGAACTCATGACCTTGCGCTTGCCAGGCAGGCGCTTTTGCCACTGAGCTAAATCCCCAGCACCCCCAGCACCGCTTGTTGAATAGGCTATCTTTCTTCCAATATATGCTTTTGGATTCTTTGTCAAAGATCAAATAGTTGAATATGTCTGGGAAGGTTTCTATATCCTCAGTTCTGTTCCACTGATCTACATGTCTGCTTTTATTCCAGTACCATGCCATTTGTATCACTGTTACTTTGTGGTATAGCTTGAAGTCTGGTATTGCTATGCCATTTGCTTTGCTCTTATTGCCCAAAATTACTTTTGCTATTCGGGGTCTCTTCTGGTTCCATACCAATTTTAGGATTGTTTTCTCTAGATCTGTAAAGTATGCTTTTGGTATTTTCATTGGGACTGCATTGAATCTGTATAACAGTTTTTGAAGTATGGCTATTTTGACAGTATTAGTTCTGCCGATCCAGGAGCAAGGAGCATCTTTCCATTTTCTGATGTCCTCTTCAATCGCCTTATTCAGAGTACTATAGTTTTCTTTGTAGAGGTCTTTCACTTCTTTGGTTATATTAGTTTCTAAGTATCTCATTTTTCTTGAAGTTACTATGAATGGTATTGTTTTCATAAATTTCTTCTTATCCCATTCATTGTTGGTGTACACAAATGCTAAAAACTTTTGTGATCTTGTATCTTGCTACTTTGCTGAAGTTGGTAAGTCATTCTAAGTTTTTTGGTGGAATTCTTTGGGTCTTCCATGTAGAGTATCATGTCATCTGCAAACAGTGATAATTTGAGTTCTTTCTTTTCTATATGTAACCTTTTTATTTTTTTCTCTTACCTAATTGCTCTGGCTAATGTTTCAAGTACCATGTTGAATAGCAGAGGTGATAATGGATATCCTTGTCTTGTTCCTGATTTTAGAGGAAATGCTTTTAGTTTTTCCCCATTTAGTATGATGCTAGCTATTGGTTTGTCATAGATAGCCTTTATCATATTCAGGGATAGTCCTTCTGTACTTGTTTTCTTCATGATTTTATCAGGAAGGGATGTTGGATTTGTCAAAAGCGTTTTCTGCATCTATTGACATATTCATGTGACTTTTTACCTTGCTCACCTTTACGTGATGTATTACATTTATAGACTTCCATATGCTAAACCATCTTTACATCTCTGGGATGAAACTTACTTGATCATGGTGTATCAGCTTTTTGATAATATGCTGCCTCCTATTTCCTAATACCTTGTTGAAGATTTTTGCATCCATATTCATTAAAGACATTGGCCTATAGTTCTCTTTTTCAGTTGGGTCTTTATCTGGTTTTGCACAGAAAATAGCAGCAAGAATCAATAAATGGGATTATATCAGACTAAAAAGCTTCTGTACCACAAAAGATTCACTAGTAGAGTGAACAGACAACCTATAGTAGAATGGGGAAAAAAATTTGCTAGCTACTCCTCAGACAAAGGACTAATATCCAGAATATACAAAGAACTAAAAAAAAAAAAAAAAAAAATTAAACCACCTAAAATTAAAGACCCAGTCAAGATACAGGCTAAAGAAATGAAGAGACACTTCACAGAGGAAGAAATACAGATATTCAACAAATATATGAAAAAATGTTCAACATCTCTGGCCATTTAATATATATTAAAACAACACTAAGATTCCACCTTACTCCAGAAAGAATAGCAATCATTAGGAAATCCAACAATAACAAACACTGGTGTGGCTGTGGTGAAAAAGGAACCCTCCTGCATTGTTGGTGGGAATGCAAACTAGTATAACCACTGCGGACATCAGTATGGAGATTCCTCAAAGAAATGAAATTAGAAATTCCACAGGACCCAGTTATCACCTGCTACTTATCTTCCCCAAAGAGCTTAAATCACCATGCTACAATGATACAATGTTCATAGCAGTGTTTATAGCAGCATGATCATAATAGCTAAATCCTAGAAGCAGCCTCTATACCCATCAACAGATGACTGGATAAACAAAGTGTGTTATCTATAGATAATGTAATACTACTCAGCTATAAAGTATGACAAATTTGAGGCATTTGTAGGCAAATGGATGCACCTGGAAAACAAAATGTTCAGTGAAATAAATCAGACACACAAGCTTGAATACCATATCGTATCCCTCATTTGAGTGGGGCAAAGTCCAAATAAAGAAAATGGTAAAAGATGGATAGAAAGGGACAGGGGACAGGTCTTGTCCAATAGGGAAATGATCCAAGGGAACAAGAAGAGCAAGGGGGAGGGGAAGGGGAAATGAGAGAAATAAAGGTGTGCCCTGTACAGGAACCTAATAACCCCAATCAATGTACACTGTATAAGCCATAACATGTGTTATGACAAACACTATTGATGGGTATGAAAAAAGTGATTGGGGAACCAGAGGAGAAGGGAGAGGGGGAAGGGAGAGGGAAGGATGGGGAAGGAAAAAGAACCTGTAACATGTACATGTAACCACTCCCTAAGATTATTGTAAGATGCATGATTTATAAACATGAAAATAAATTTTTAGAAGACTAAAACAGACAACTCTTCATCAAAAAAATACTACTTTCAGAGCTATTGACTCTGTAACACTTTAATAAAGGGTGAACAGATCTTTTTATTTGATGTGGGTACTATGACCTTGTATACCTTAACAATCAGGATACCCTGGAACTGAATTTATAGTGTTTTTATCATTGAAATTGCTCACAAGTGATGGTATGGTGACTAAAAATCTAATATAGAATTAGAGAATTTTAAAAATTAGCATAATATTACTAAATCTCAGGAATAATTTAGGAAGGACCCTAACATTGAAGACTATGAATGTCCCATGAGTCTGGGACTACATGAAGTAACACTAGAATCTACTGTCTGGCAACTCATCACCCATGGCTCTGATGGCCTTCGTGTTGAGTGCCCGTGTCATGTCTACTATATTTGGGATGCTGAAAGTGCCAGGAAAGCCCAAATGGTAAAGGCTGAGCCGCAGAGTGGCAATTTCGGGAAGATGGGCCTCATCTTTTGGGAAGACAGGTCTTTCGGGAAGACAGGCCTTTCAGGAAGACAGGTCTTCAGGTCACTAGGCGCGTCCTTAAACTAACAGGACTGTGGGAGCCTGGCCTCTTCCTCTTTCTCCTTTGCTTCCTGGCCATGGAGTAAGACGTTTCCCATCAGCACCCACACTAGAGGCCTGAAAGATAGGTCCACCTTTTTATGGACTGGAATCTCTAAAATTATGAACCAAGTAAACCTTTTCTCTTTATGAGTTAATTATCTCAGATATTTTCTTACAATGGTAAAAAGCTGACTAGTACACTCTTCCAAAGGCCCCCATATTCTTTCATTTCTAGTGATGTCTTTCATGACCCTGAAAGCATAAAGAACATTCATTGTTCACCTCTCTGTTCTCACTAGTCTGCAGTTGGTCAGTTTATTACCTATCAGTCAGTCACATAAGTATGGCACAGTCCCCAGCCTCAAAGACATCACTGCCCAGAAATGGGCACAGGAGCAGCTAAGTATGGACTGTGGAAGAAGGGGTGAGGCCTAAGAGTATGGTGGCCCCACACAGGGAAGGATAACTCTGCTGAGTGAAGGTAAGCCTGGAAAATTCTCCCAGAAGA